ATACTAAGTAGTTTCTATAAATATATGAATTATAGTATAAAAATTAATGCAACAATATAAAAATGTATCTATTTCTTTGTCCTTTGAAGAAGAATTTTTTTAGTGCCAAAAATAATCTACAGCAATGACTTTACTTTTTAATTGTTTCAGAAAAAAAATATCTTAGAGTGTGAATCACTCACATTAATTATGTCAGAAAAATGTTTCCTCAGCAACTGGGGGGGAATTTTATTTTTAAACAGAATTAAGGTGAGATTTCTTTTTGGTCTCTTATATCTGTATAAAGGACAGTCACTCACTGCCCATGGACCTCAGGAACTATTGGTTTGAATCAGCTCCCAGTGCAGCAGTGGTACAGAGCTGACCATGCCAGTCTGAGCCTCTTGTCCTAAAGTGACTGACAGAGAGGGAAGGAAAGCACTGGTCTCATTCTGTTTTGCCAAATTGAAACTCCCTTTCTACCTCCTAACTTATGTGAAGCCTGTCTTTAGTTTATTCTGTTAACATGGAACATAAGGAATCGAAATATACTGCCAAAGAGTAATGACAAGTGCCAACATATGTCACATCCAGGCATTGTCTGATACTGTTTTATCTTTCACCTGTACATGAGAACTCCTTATAAATAACAGCCATAAGCTGCATTGGAACAGAGTGAAGCCATAATACCCTCTGGTGGGGACACCCCTAACCCCAAGACTAACACCTGCCCTTCTTCCTTCCCTGGCTATGCCCTCTTCCCCCACATAGCTGCACTGTGGCTTCCCTCTCAACTTCAGGCGTTTGCTCAAGTCACTTTCTCAGTGAGGCCTATCTAACCACCTTATTTAAAACTGCAAAACTCTGTATTGGCATTCCCAAACCTTTGTACTTGCTCTACTTTTAAATATTGCATTCATTATCTCAAAAATTAAATGCTTTGCATATGTATTGTATTTATTATCTGTCTCCTTCCCATACTCCAAAAAATAAGCACATTGGAGCTTTTTTTTGTCTATTATTCCTATTGTTTTGTTCACTAGTATGCCTGGAGTAGTTTCTGGTCTTGATTGGGTGCTCAGTAAATATCTGTTAATGGTTTAATAAATAAATAATTATTTTGCTCCTTATTATGACTAGTCATAAATAACAGATAGGAAGTAGTTATATTTATAATAAATGTCATTAATTAAAATATAAAGATTTAAAATACAGCCATCCTATTATTAAGGCTAAACAATTGCAAACTCTTAAAAGGCTTATACATTAGACCTGGCTTTTTGTTTCTTGATTCCATTCTGTAAAGCTGGATACCAAAAATTCCCATGGCAACTCAGTTCCTTGTTCAGAGGCAAAAATGTATTTAGAGCACAAAACTTCTATCGTAGGATCGTTGAAACTCTGGTATATATTTTCTTCATTCACCTCTGTTAGCTTTGGCTCTGGGTCTTAAACAGAATTCAGTTTTAAATGTTGCAGATTTCTAGCCCCTCATACAGAAATGTAGGCTTCAACAAGACCTAACTTGAATGACTACTTGCATTCGAAAGTGATTTTGGGTAGTTGAGCCAGAAAAAGATTCTCCACCTGCAGAGAGCAGGGGTCTATGTGTTCCTTGGAAAGCTGTTGATTATAAGGGTGAGCCGCCTTTCAACAAGGTTTACAAATTAGATAATTACATTTTCTCAGGCCATAGGGTGGGGAATGATTACAGATGATTCCGTGGTTATATATTAGGTATGTGTTCATCCAATCCAAAAATTTCCTTACTCTGTTTCTAAGAACTAGTGCACATGGGGGTATATATCTTCTGCCAGTGCTCATATTATCTGTTCCATAATTTAAAATCAACTTTGATGCTATTAGCTAATTTTTAAAAGGAGAATTATCTTGCCATGTCTTTTATTTGTTTTTTTGTTTAACATTCTGAAGAAACTCTTAAGCCAAGAGGTTATAGCTTCTTGGTATTGATAGCTGTTAACAATTAAAGCAAAATAACATTAAATAAAGATAATTTAATCATCATGTAGCCTGGAATGGAAAGGTGTGGGGAGGAAAGAGAGGTGCTCTATCATTTGTGTATTTATGCTTGTTACTCTGATTCTAATGAAATAAAATGCATTTAATTCTAGAAAAAGGCTGAGAACTTTACCTTAATTCCAAGATCTGAAAGCATACCTAGAAACACAAACTCAGTCTCTGAAAAGCTCATTCTTTGAGACCTGCTATGATAGCCAAGCATGATCTATTTAACTCTTTCCATTGGAAAGATCCAAGATTATTTTTCAAGCTCTCTGATCTGTGAGTTTTTAACTCTATTGTTTTTAGATCCCAATACTGATAAGGCCCTGAGAGTGAGTTTAATCTATTTAGGGAACATTGGCTGTTCCCTGAGGCCACCTTTGACCAGGCCCTCTGGAGTTAGACAACCTGGGATTGAGTCCCACACCCACTCCTTTGTAACCATGTGACCTAGGAACCTATCTGAGCCTTCTTTTCCTCATTGGTAAATTAGATATAGTAATGATACCAACCACATAAAGTAAAACAATAATAGTAAATTCTCAATAAATGTTAGTTGTCAATGTCACCCTCTTTTTTAACCCCCCATAATTCAACAAAGTAGCAATCATCACTGCTTTACAAATTATGGAATTGAGGCACAGTGTGACTTGCTCAAAGGCATTCAAATACTAGGCGTTAAACTCATTTGAATATATAAAAGCTCATGCTGTTCCCTCAAGCAAGACAATCCCTTTAAAGCTATTTGATTGTAACCCCAAAATTCTTTTGGTCTGTACATTATGAAACTGGACCATAATAATTTTCATTTCTTTGTGCTCCTTACCAAGGGTCTGGATCTGAAAGCAGCACCAAGGATGTGGCCCCTATCTTGACCCTCAGTACTTCTAAAGCATGAGGTTTTGCTGCAGGAGAAAATTTCACCCTGGAGATCTGATCACATAGTTCTACATTAATGTTTATGCCAAGCTGTGCCACCTCCTTGGAGCCTTTGTAACCTGTGTTAGCAGAGAGATCAACAGTTAAGTAGGAGCTAAGTAAAACATTTACGGGAGCTGGTGAAGGAACCATTACAACTGGGGCCACATCTCTTGGTCCATGTACAGTCCAGCTTTATTTCAGATAGCAGTGCATCTTTCTGTATTTTAAAAGACACTGTGCTTCAAACATAGTTTTTAATGACCCCAAAAAGGGCATAAACGTATGCCTACTGTGTGTCTAACACTATGCTTGGGGCTAGAGAGAGTCCATTCATAACCATTACTGTGAGCTAAAAATGGATTGGGAGTACCTAAATAATACAGAACAAAATATGAACTACAAAATATATACTTGCAATGTGTACATTTGTTTTCTGTGAGGCAGTTAACCAGGCAAATAAAAAGCCCTTCAATATGGGCTTATTACTTTGAACAAAAGGAATGTGCTGTTTTATAAAATAAAGAGATGGAAAGAATTTATTCTGACCAGGAAGCTTGGGGAAGGCCTCAGGGAAGAAGTGTAACTGGCCTTGAAAAATGAGTAAGCTTGTAATTGAAGAAGAGGGAGAAGGCACAGAAGGCCGAAGAAGCAGCTTGAGCAGAGGCAAGCCAGTGCCTGAGTCTACCTCCCGTCAGGAGGTTCAGGAGAGTCTGCAGTTACGTGTAGGTTTTATACAGATAACAGTGGGAGATGAGGATGTGAAGGTACAGAACGAAGCTTACATTCTATTTTCTGAATAATAGGTTTATGAAGACTGGAGTAATATATTAACTTCACTTTTTTTTTGGAAATAATTCTGAGGATAGTGCAAAAGGGTGGATTTAGGAAATGAAGCTGGACATGGGGACCATAGGTTAGGAAGCACATATAGAAAGTCCATGGAGTACTTCAAGAAATGAAGGCTTCACTTAAGACGGTTACTGAGGGAATGAAAGAGCATTCCCAGAAACCAGAGACCACTCACCAGGAAACTTTTTGCATTTGTCTATGGGGAATGGAAGGAACTGAAAGATGCAATGAAAGCACTGATCCTTGTAGCCAGGGTATTTTGGGAGAAGATGGTAAGTACTGGGTTCCCTGACAAGACTGGAATTTCTGGAAAATTTTATGCTTTTGTTTCATGATCATGCCTTGCTATAAAACATTAAAGACACTTTTCAACTCCTTCAGTATTACAAAGCATACTTTTCTATTTTCAAGGCACAAATCTGTTTGATAAAAGTAAATCATTCAAAGGAGAGCTTAGAATGTCCTCCAATGGACTCCACACCTATGCCCTCTATAGGTTGAACTTGTAGAGGAGGCAAAACTTCACCTCTATCCATCTTAGGTTTTCAGCGAGACCTGTAACAAAAAGACAGATTAACAAGAGAAAACGACACAGAAATTTATTAATATGCAAACTTTATGTATGCGTGGAAGACGTCCAGGAAAAATGAGTAACTCCAAGAAGTGGCTTTAGAATTCAGGATTGAATATCATTTTTACAAAGAAATGGGAGGGAATGTAACCCTCTTGGGAGAGAGTAAGTTAGTTTTAGGAAAGATGAATGGACCCTTAGACAAATAGATGGGACATAGGGTGGTTCGTGACAGAGTTTGTCTGGGTGTGAGGTTGGCTTCTGGACTCCTCTTGTGATGAGTCAATGCTCCCTGGTTGATGAAATTCCCTGGGGAAGGAGGATTAATGACGATTGAGTTTCTTTTGGAGGATTTGTCTTTAGCCAGATTAAGGGAGTTCAGAGAAAGCCTCTCCCTACATTTTTTGTTTTCAAGGGTCTACAGCTCAAAATAATATGTCAAAGTGGCATATTTTGGGGTGCTGTATGCTGCAGCCCTGCAAATGATGCCAGCAGCTGAGGAATGATCTGTAGACACTCATAGGAAGTATTTGTAAGAGCAGTGCCTTGGAGAGAATGCGTTAAGTAAGGTTATTATGGGCTTTGAGCTGCTGCTTCTTGAAAATACATTTCACCTCTTTCATGGTCTCCTTTTTTCTCCCCCTGCTTACGCTTTTAGAGGAAAAGTCCGGTAAGAAATAATTCCTTTCTACATTTTGGTCAAACATTATTTATTCTGTTTATTTTTATCATCTGCATATTTAATGGTTGACTGTGTTTAACACCTAAACAAGATTTTGAATTTTAAAAACAAATCTTTGTGAACCAGGGCAAGGTCTAACAATGTCTATGGGGAAAAAAGGAAGTTGGTTGCTAAGTGGTTTTACCAGCTGGTTGTAAAGAGCCACAGAGTAATTTTGCAAAGATTCACGTCTGCCTCAATCATGGGCATATGAACAAATATTTTAGGTTTTGAGTTTTGTTTATTGCAGCTTCCACTTGAATTAGTCAAGCCACATGTATGTACCATGAACTGGGCAAATTTTTTTAATGTACAACATGATAGCATCCATCCTGAATGAATGTTTGTGAAGCTGGCCTAGAAAAGGGAACTTACGCCCTGAGCGGTTTGGCTCAGTGGTTGGAGTGTCAGCCCATGGACCAAAGAGTCGCAGGTTTGATTCTAGTCAAGGGCACATACCTTGGTTGCGGTTTGTCCCCAGCCCTGGTCGGGGTCATGAGGGAGGTGACTCTCACATCGATGTTTCTTTCTCTCTCCCTCCCTCTCTCTCCTTTCCTCCCACTCTATCTGAGATAAATGGAAAAATATCCTTGGATAAGGATTTTAAAAAAGGAAAGGAAAGGGAAGGGAACTTACTTTTTTTCAGTTAATCACAAAAATATCTCTATATGATGATTGCCAAAGGGAAAGGCTGCATGAGGTGGAAGAGGGCAAAAGCGTGATAAATGGTGGCAGAAAAAGTCGTGGCTTTGGGTGATGAGCGCATTATACAGATGCAGATGACGTGTTATATAGAGCCATTCTCTTGAAACCTGTATGGTCTTATTACCAATATCACACAACAAATTCTATTAAACATGTTTAAAAAAAGAAAGAAAAATGGGCAAATGGCTAGAATAAGCATTTCAGAAGAAGCTACCTAATAGGAAAATAAATATATAAAAATAACATAAACCCATAAAATGAAAACTATCTCCTTCTGGAGTTGTCTGAGACAGGAAAAGAGGATCTTTATAAAGTGTAAATCACCTTGTGCCTGTTACTTTATAGTACCAGTGGGTGAACTTTAGTGGCAGCACCAATGTGATTTGAGGTACCTACATTAAAAAAAAAAAAATTAGGACAACATTAAAACAAGACTAATTCTGAGAATTATATTACTCAAAAAAGAAAAATAATTCAACATTCTCTTCTTGGCTGCCTGGCTTATTGGGAACATGTTCCCAGGATGCTGATGGGTGGCTGACACAGATGACCTTGCCACTGGAAAATACAAAAATACTGTGTTTCCATGTTAACAAGTACCAGAAGTGGTTCATTGACATTGAACTCACCTAAGTGGATGCAGTATCCTCTCATCCTGCATTGACCCAAATCTGGCATTATCTGTACCACGTACAGGATACGCACTTACAAGTCCATGTGATAAGGAGGGAGGAGGAACAAAAAATGGGATCAAAATATTACTTTATCAGAATATGGACCCAATGTTTTAGTTACCCAAAATAAAATCAGCACCTGTTATTAGTAGTATTATTATTACTAAACTAAATGACCCACTTCTGAATAATTGAGTCAAATATGTGGCATACGATATTATTGGTGCACTTCGGTAACTTTTCTTTGTACTTTGCCTATTTCACTTATTCTCTTTGACCCTAAATCTTCCTCTGAATCATCCAAATTTGGCCACTTCAGATATTGAAGTGTATGTCTTGTAGGATGAGTCCTCCTCCTAGTCCCTTGCCTCATTTTTTCCTTTGGAAATGTCATCCTTTTGATTGCTTAATCTAGTCAACTCGTGATATCTCGTTTTAGTGATCTATTTGTTTCTCTTGCCAAATGGAGTTTCAGAAGATCATCTCAACCAAATCCTACTGGACATGATAGGTATCCATTGTAATCTGACTTGTAATAGATATAATTTAAATATATATAATAGAAACAAATTTAAATATAGACAAACACCTACAATGGGAGGGCAGCAAATAGATGCTTGCCAGATAGTTTGTCTTCACCCTAAAGCTTTAAAAACAAATAGTAATATTGGCTAGGATTAAAACAATAAACATAATAATCATATATACCAATTCTTTCCTAGGAAATTTTCTAACATGTACCACTAAATGTGCTATGACTAGATAATGTAAAACTAATACTTGTTTGGTGCTTTATGATTTTCAAGCATTTTTCTGTTTCCACATGGCACTGAATTTAGCAAATGAGGATGTCTTAAAAGTTTTGAAACCTGAGACTAGTTATTTAGTGACTTTGATGAGCAAGACAGATTATATTTACTTTTTTTTTTTAATAAGTATCTTAAAACACTGACCTGCATTGGCTTAGACTAAACCATCCTAGTTAACAGAATTTATATTCTTTTGTGCAAAAAAAGAACAAAACAAGCCTGGTGTGGAGTACGGACACTGTGGCAATGGCAAGGACATAAGCTCAAGTATTTTCTGTAGGGAGTCATATACATGTTGCAAATTATATAAATTTTACAAGTATAACATGTACAAATACAACCAAACATCTTTATTCTAGAGATCACATCATAACTTAGTAGTATCTTAGCAGCCTCAAAATACAAAGAGTAGTTATCTCTGAGGTGAATACCAATATAAAAGTAGAGGGAAAATAAAATGTTTTTCAAAACCTCCCAAATTTATCAGAAGATCAAGAAAAATCTAGGAGTTGAACAATTAATGTTTAATTAGGAATGCAAGAATTTTGTTCAGAAAAACAAATAGACCAATTGCAAAGTCCCTGTTTGAATAATCATGTGAAGTAATAAAAACAGCAGATGTGATTGACTGAGTGCTTATTTTATGTGATACAGATGCCTGTAATCAGAGACAAATTGGCCACCTGCAGCTTCTGAGCACTGGATAAGTGTTTTGTTTAGTTGTGCAGTTAAAAACAATTTTACTCTGCATTTGAAAATTAGAACATTTGAATTAAATATATACGTCTGTTGTGCATTTTCATTCAACAACTCTGCAGATTCGGCAGTACTAGGCCCACATTCTTGCACAGCAGGCATGGGTGCACCTGAGTAGTGGGTAGTTCACCAAAGCTTCGTGAAACACGTGCCCTTACACATAGCACCCCAGCTCCTTGCCCTACGCACATTTGAGTTTCAACACTACCATTAGCGTGTTCAGCTTATAGAATACATCAAGACCAGGTACTGAATGACTTTCCTTCCACCTTTGAAGCAAATCTATTGGTAGAACAAAGTTAGAACACTAAAGCCTTCAAAGGTCACGAAAGGCTTCAAAGATCATGGGAAATGACAGAAGAAACAGTAAAAGAAAACGTTCAACAAGCAAAGACCCTCCCTTCTTGGCCGATAATGATTTTACTGTCCAAGTCGTTCAGCAGTGTCTGCAGTTCATTTATGCTCCTTAATGGTGATAATTAACATATATAAAGTCCTTCAATTTGACTTCTGGAGGTTTTTTTCCTTTGAAGGTTTCAGATAGCTCTTAACAATGAACCTTGAGGCTTTCTGGGTCTGATATTTCCACAGCTTCTCGCAGGTCTTCTGGATTCTGGTTAATGAACTTGTGACTACTTGGATTTGAACAACTGTTCCTTGACAAAGGCATTTTGCAAATAGTTTCCAAAATGCTATCTTATGAGGTTGTCTTTTACTAGAAAAAAACATAAGAACTATTGATTAAAATTTAGGTTTTCAATTTACTAGAAAACAAAATATGACTTAATTTGGGTGGATTAACATATTGAAATTATTTTGAAAAGTGTTCTCTATAATCTTATAATTAATAAAATTTCTTGAATTTAGGTTTCTGCCTCTGGATGGCTATAATCTACGTTTCATTTTGCAGTATTTCTAAATATATCTAAATTCCTGGCTACCAACAAAACCTCTGAGAAGTAACCATTCCTGAACATTAGCCACAAGCACTCTTTGCTTTTTAGGAGTCCTCCAACAATGTCACACTCAGTGCCATAGAAAGAACATGATAATGGAAGTTTATAGATCTAAATTCTATCTCTGATTCTACCCATTTGCTGGCTGTGTGTCTCAGCCTCACTTTCCCCTTTACATCAAAAAGGAAGCTGGATTAGATATCCATGGAGGTCTCTCTAATCCTTGTCTCTGATTTTTGGAGGCTCCAATTTAGGCCCTAGTTATGTGGGAAATGCATTATGCCTATGATAGTTGCTAACACCGTTTTGTGGGGAATCAGCTTTCCCTGTACTACCTATTCTCTAACCCACCCCCCACCCCTGCCAAATACTCTGGAGAAAATCTCATGCCAAGATAACAAAATTTCTTGTATATTTCCACCTTGTTCTTGTGTACACATAACTTGAAATAAGTACATCCCCATAAACAAAGCTATATTATACAATGGACAGATTCTCTTTAGAGTTCTCCAAAACTTCCTTATGTTTTAAATGAGCCACAAACAGCATGACTGCTTGTCTTCCTTTGGCCTGGGAGTGCATGTTTGGTTAGCTGTTTATGAAGACTTCTGTTACCCAAGCCTGTTGACTGATCCATCATTCTCTGACTAGGTGTCTGTTCTCTCTTCCTTTTTGCTGATCACAGAGGCGCAGCCCGGTAAGAACTCTCAACATTTTTACCTTACACATGTTTGGAGAAATTGTTGCCAAGGCCAGGTGGCCAGGTTGGCTTCTCATCAAATTTATGATAGCCTAGTGTGAATGAGGCAGATGAATTCATTTTACTGGTTGGAAGTGTCTGGTCCTATAAGTGTCAAGAACATAGTTTAGGATTATTAGAGCACTTTTCCATAACAGACTAAATTAATATAAGAATCTCAACAAGTAGGACTAAATTTTTAAAATGTGTGTGTATGTGTGCAGGGTCTGGAGATTAGCCAGAAATCACCACAGAGGTTAGTAGCAAAGAGATATTGAAGAATAAGAAAACTGTAAGGAAACAATTTTTAAGCACATGGTTTTTAAGACTGAATTTGCACTAAGTCCCTGGACCATAAGTTACATTGGTCAGTATATGCTGATACATAAAAATGGATAATCACAGTTTCCTTAGAGGGTGAGGCATGTCAGTAAGCCTTGACTGTCACATAATTCTGTATGTCATCACTGAAGGTGAATCAGTTTTGTTTATATTGTTGTTCAAAGTAAAACCGCAGTCATTTTCCTCAAATTGAATAGCGTGATGTATTCAAAGCAACAAAAAGGAGAGTCTTTGCTATATTTGAATTGACCCCCATCTGTCTGATCAGTCCCTTGAGAGAGGAAATGGAACTGAAAACAATGCCCTCTGAAATATCCCTAGGTCTGTGCCCATTCAATGAATCAATTATTATTTAAGGCAAATTCTCTCTCAGCTGAGAAACTGGTGGTTCTCTGTTTAAACCACTTGGCAGAGTAGCAAAGAAAACAATACCTACAGGTGAGGATGATCTCAAGTGACATCTCAGATTATGACAAATTACTCTTTTTAAAAGAAAAAAAAAGTGAATTAACTAATTCAAAATGAAGGAAATTTATTAACAATCTACATGTAAGGACAATCGTTGAAAGGAGGAAAAGGCAGTAATCTAGTGAGAATGTTTTTGAAGTTAGTGGGCTTTCTTCCTGAATGTGGTTTGTGTGGTCGACAGCATCCTACCCTTGCCCTGGATTTGCCATGTTGCAGCCTCAGATCTGTGTGCCGAACCCAGCTGACAATGTACTTTCTTTTCTGTTGCTGCTGACTTGCTGCTGCTCGTTTGAATATCTGTTCCCTTCTAAATTGGTCTGATTTTATCCTTCCTAATTTCTAAACAAGCGTTTTCTTGCATATTACTGCCATGTGTTGCCTGCACTTAATGGATGATTATTCATTTATGAGGAGTATTTAATAAAAATGTTACAGGGGCTTCTCATGTAGACCTCCCAACAGTAACAATCTATTAAATTGATACACCAGGAATTGCTGAATACAAAAGAAGCTTTGCACCTTTTTTGGTTTCATAAGTATTACATTTTTAATGAAAAGGGTAAGATAGAGAAACCAAAAGGTCTTCAATATAGTCTCTGGGGTCCCCTAATTCCTGGGTTTCAGGTCTCACAATACTAGAAGGATCCTATTCCCTCATTGCCCACCTTTCAATTGACTATTTGAACTTAGTCTCTTATTTCAGACCTTACCAATAAAAATCTGACTAGCTGAGCTCCATAACCTAGAAGAACATTTTAATGCAATTAACAATTTGTTCTCTTGTTATTTTTGTCTATGCAGTCTTCTTTTCCAAAAACCAACCTGTATCCAAACTCTCATAATGACTGTAGCTGATTTAAATTACCATCTTTATTTAAAATGTTTATTTATAAAATATGTTTATTTATAAATTTAGATAAATACATGTTAATGTAATAAAATATTTATTTATTAAAATAAATAATTCTATATAATTAAACATTAATTTACTAAAAATAAAATATAAGTTTTTACTAATAACATAATAATTCTCTATATGGCACACACAGAGATTGCATTATTAGGCAAGACAAGACAGAAAAATGTTTGAGACATTGGGCCAGCCACTAGAAAACATCTAGTGGATCCTGTTCAGATAGAAACTGCTCTTCTATCATAAAGGAGTTCAAAATGAGACAAAAAAAATTCTGAAAAGTCCTTAAAAAGAGGGAAAGAAGCTTCTTATGGTGCTGTGTCTCATCCTGAGTTAATGATATTATTATTTGAGAGAAGAAATGTATGTGACCAATAGGTTGAGTCTTCACCAAACTAGGAAAGTAGAAAAAAATGTTTGTTGACCACCCACCAAATTCATGGGCATACCATTTGGGATACTTTCCTGTGCTTTACTTTTCCCACAGCAGCTCCCTATCATTCTCCTCAGGCAGCCCTGCCATGCCACGCCCCACACACCGTACCACCCTTCCAGTGGTCTAAGAACCTTTCACAGTGATTTTGAATCAAAATCTTTTTATCTAATCAATTATTTTGTTGTCAAAATAAGTTTCTACTAGGGCATTTTAAAAAACAAGAAATGGCCTTCTCAGATTATTCCCATCAGGCCTATTTGTATTCCAAGTAGTATCAGAATGCTGGTGATGGACCAGGTAGCGGGCATGTGGGAGAAATTGGGGTGGGGTTACCTGGTGAGAACGATGGAAGTCCGACTCAGTGGCAATGCTTCCAAGGTTTATTTCTCTATTACACTTGCCACTTCTATCATTACAAATTGCATTAGTAAACTAATGACTGTTTCTACTAACTTATGGATCCCATCTGATAAGAGCAGACAGTAACCCTAATAAAGTCCATGATTTTAGAACATCAAATGTAATTTAAACTTGGATTTTTTTTCTTGTCTGCTAGACTTCCAGGTTGTTTTCTAATAGACTATTTAATATTTACCTTAATTTACCAAATCTACCCAGGTAAAGGATTTCTCTGGTTCAGGAGACATGATTTACCTTCCCTTTCTCTATAATCCTAAGTAAAATGAAAAACTGATTTATATGAGTGTGTCTACAATTTCGAATTTGAATGTGATTCTGAGAAAAATTTATTTTTCTTCATCTGCATTTCATTAAGTTCAGTTTAATTGCAATAATGGAAATATACATATTGTACATAACATATGTGGTCTTAAACCTTATAGTGTCTATTTCTAATTCTAGGGTGCAATTAAAAGGAACTTATCCAGTAAGTATATCTTAGCTATCCAAAATAGAGTACAATTTAAAAGAAGGAATAAGTTCCTTGGATCTTGAAGCATATGTACATTTGACTTACATACTTTTGGGCTTGATTTTTAAGACTTACAAATATCTTTTACTGCAAAGAAATCTTGTAATGATAAAGGGGCTTGTTGGGTTCTGAATGGTTAATGTTTAAATTCTAAAAATGCATATGTTTTTTGGAAAAACTTTGCTATTTCCTATATTTGTCAACTCTTGCTGTATCAATTGACTTTAGAAATAAAGTTCATCAAGTGTGTGCTTGGTGGTGGGGGTGGGGAGAGGAAGGGGCAGAAAGAACTGAAGATAGGTACAACTTACCCATTCTTGTGTCATTTGATATAAAATTTCTAGTCAGCTAAGGTGACATGTAATAGCTTATAATATACACAGGGCACGATTTTCCTCTGCTGCATACAGCACATTCTAGGGAATTCTAAATTTATGGTTCCTGGTTAAAGGTATAACATTTTGGCGTTTCAAGAAAAAAAAAACAGGCAGAGCATGCTGGATTCGTGTACTATGTACATATGGCCTGCTTGGTGTTCTCTTATGGTAATTGGGAAGCAGAACTGATCAAGGCAGCAGACATTTGAAGAATGATATGCTACTCCTCTAGCTCTACAGTGTACAACTCTTCTGTTTGATGGCTTAGCATGGTAATTCCTTGGTTAATTAGGTTTTACAAATGCCAGAGAAAATGCTACTACATGTGCCTAATAGAAGACTTGCACTGCCAGGGGAGAGGGTTTGTTTTGCAGAGCTTTCATGTTGAGTTGTTTATTGATGGAACTTAAATCTCTAAGTGTTTCCAAACATAGCTCATAAGACAGATAAGTAAGGAATGGGAAAAAATATATTCCTAAAAGTTTCCTTTGTCCTGTACATCAGGTGAAGAAGTGGCCAGACCCAGGCGTTCCACACCAACTCCAGAACTTATAAGGTGAGTGTGAAAGACATTGGTTGTGTTATATGCAATGCATCACTACTCTTAACAATTTAGCCAATATCGTTGGGGCTAAACTCTCAGCTCCTGTTACAAAAAGGACTTGCTCATATGTGTAAGTTCATAGTATAATTCAAATATGTTATCATTTCTCACAAGTGCAGCCTGAGGGAGACCTTCAGGAAAATACTCTGTAGTCATCTACAGTAACTATTAGAATATGCAGTCCCCTCACTAATGGGAGGATTGCAAGTCTGTGTGAAGAGATCCTTTGGGGTCTGAAATCTAAGCTGAAGTATGATTATTGAATATAATAACTTCATGATACATTCCACCTGCCACACTCCAAAGGAATCTTCTGTTTTGTTTTGGTTGTGGGGGGCCAAAATATTATATTTTATACTGTGTATTTATTGAATTAAGCAAGTATTATACAAATGCACATTGTTTTCCAAGAAGACTCCTATTTAAAAGCTTAGTCTTTTTCATTTTCCCTTCTTCTCCAACCCCTCCATTCTCCCTTTCACTTCTTACCTCCCACCACAAGTAATGAGAACTCATTAGGATTAATCTGGGGAAGAAATGGAGAACATTATGGAACCTTTCATTAATGATGAGTTTAAGTAATAATTGGGGAAAAGGATGAGAGTTTAACATATTACCCTCCTTTTCTCTCTTATTCCTCAATACTCTCGTTCTTTCTGAGATGAACTGTATTAAGGTGTTAGGAGGTTATAACTAGGCTGTTAGGTAGGAGGGAAGGATGGATGCAGTTAGAAGTTGGAAGACCTAGTTTTTTATTCAAACACAACTCCCTGGGTGGCTTATCACTTAGCCTCCTTATGCCTGACTTTCACTAGTTATAAACTGCATTAACTACAACACAGAGATGTGGCGAAGACAAATATCAATGGTTTGGAAGACATTAAGAGAGAATAATGTGCTTTACAATAAACTGTTATCTCTTTTAGGTATGGAGAATCACGATGCATTGAAAGTTTCTCTCCTTCAACTTACTGCAATGGCACCATGGTCCCCCATTGAGAATCAGGGATCTTATCTCCTACCAAGTCTCTTGTCCATAATACATTTGACATCCTTGTATATACTTTCTAGACCTATGGAAACTTATATACATACATACAGACAGACACAAGTGCACACACACACACATCTGCCTTACTGTGAAAAATATGTGAAAGCTCATCTATGCATTTCAGCATTAATATTTCTTTTCTCTCTGTTTTGCTTTAATGTGTATGATTTAGCAAAAAACCTCCAGATGACACCATGGCCTTAGCTCCCCTCTTTGGCCCACCATTAGAATCAGCTTTTGATGAACAGAAGACAGAAGGTAGGGAAAATATGTATATCTGTAGATTTTTTTCCTTTTCATTAACTTACCTAAAGTAAATATATATGTTTTGAGGCATATTTTTAATGTATCGTCAGATCTCCAGTAGCTATGTTTGGTAATATAAAATGCTCTTATAGCTCTGGCTGACTTGGCTTAGCGGTTAGAATGTCAGCCCATGGACCAGAGTCTCAAGTTTGATTCCAGTCAAGGGCACATACCTCAGTTGCAGTTCGGTCCCCGGCCCTAGTCAGCGTCGGATGGGAGGCAACCAATCAATGTGTTTCTCTCACATCGATGTTTTTTCTCTCTCTCTTTCTCTCTCTCCCACTCCCACTCTGTCTGAAAATAAATGGAAAAATATCCTCGGGTGAAGATTTCAAAAAAAATTTTTAAATGCTCTTATATAAAAACAGCATTTGATTTAAGAGCACTATGGTACATATAAAATAAAATTTTTTTTAGGATCCATTGGTGAGGGAAATTAAGTTTAAGTATTAAGGAGAGAAAAACTTGGGAGCATAATGGGGAGGCTGAGCTACTGTAACAGAGAGGCACTAAAGTGCAGTGACTTCAACAAGGTAAAAGTTTATTTCTGTTTCACATTAACAGTCTCAAAGTAAACAGTATAGGACTGTAAATTGGCTCTGGTGTTCGCAACATATGACCTTCATCTCTCAGTCTGAGGGGGCTGCTCCAGCTCCCATCATCTCCCAGTCAGAAGAAAGGAGTTGGGGGTGGGGGTGGAGAAGGGCCAGTGGACCTCACTGCCAGTCCTTGTAAGAGCCAAATCTGGCAGAGACACATTACTTCCAACCAGCACCCATCATAGATCAGTTAGTGCCGCAAGGCCAGCTAAAACTCTTGAACTATAGAGAAATGGAGAGAATGTGCTGGAAGATAGCTAGCAGTCAGTCACATCCAAACATTTTGTCATGATTTAGTTAGGAAAATGTATATGAAACATCCCTAAATACTCCTTTAGTGACTTGTCTACAACTTACGCCCTGTGACAAGATTATCAGTTCTCTTATTAACATCAATGATCATCTTGTTCTTAAGGACATAGTCATGTAGTGACTGAAGGTGGGTTTAGATTTGTGTCATTTGAATCTACCTATTAAAGAATTTCATAACTGTGTGGAACCTGATATACAAAATAGAAAATGGTTCTTAAAAGTGGAAGTGGTGTTCATTGAACATCACTGAATCCTTTTTAAAAATGCTGCTTTAGCCCTGGCCAGTTTGGCTCAGCGGTTAGAGCGTTGGCCTGCGGTTCAGAAAGACCCGGGTTCGGTTCTTGCTGGGGGTGCGTACCTTGGTTGCAGTTTGTCCCCGGCCTTGGTTGGTTGTGCGGGTGGCAGCCACTCGATGTGTCCCTTTCACGTCGATGTTTCTCTCTCTCTCTCTCTCTCTCTTCCTCTCCCTCCCTCCCACTCTATCTGAACAAAGGATGGAAAAGTGTTCTCGGGTGAAGATAAAAAAAAAAAAAATTCTGCTTTACATCTTTAAAGAATGCTTACTGTCCGGCCGGTATGGCTCAGTGGTTCAGCATCGACCCATACACCAAGAGGTTGCCAGTTTGATTCCCGATCAGGGTACATGCCCAAGTTGTGAGCCTGATCCCCAGTGGGGGCCATGCAGGAGGCGGCCAATCAATGTTCTCTCTCATCGATATATCTATCTCTCTCTCCCTCTCACTTCCTCTCTCTCTAAAATCAATAAAGGAAAAAAAAAAAAGAATGTTTACTTTTATGTTAAAACAGAGCTAAGATCATCTTTGAGGTTTGTGATGGAGAGGAGATACACCCCTGACCTTGTCAATGTGCCTGGCTTGATTGTTCTTTAGGTGGTTTTGGCCCCTGAAGTTGTGTAAAGTTCCATCAGTTGCACCAAGCACACTTGCTCTTTCAGTACCCACACTGACCTGTCATATCTATACACCCTCACTTCTTTGGATTGATTTTTTCTGTTACTAGTTTAAAAGGCCTGGGAAAAACATATTTTGGAGTCAGGTATGCATGCCTGGGACCAGACCTTAGCTCCTCTGCTTTCACCATGTGTTCTCTTGGCAAGTTGTTTAATCACTCTAATCTTTGATTTCCCCTTCTGCAAATGGTACTAACACCAACCATATAGTGATGTTGTGACAATTAAACACAAATAATAATAGCTATGAGCCTTTTAGTAAGTGATTTATATACATTTTTATACATTATATGTATATACTTCTTTAATCCTCTTAGTGCCTCTGAAATTGCTTTTAATAATCACATAAAGAAAGGGAATGCCTGACCAGTGTGGTTCAGTGGTTGAGCATCAGTCCATGCAGTTCGCTTCCTGGTCAGGACACATGCCCAGGTTGTGGGCCAAATCCCCAGTGGGGGGGACATGCAGGAGGAGGCCAATCAATGTTCTCCCTCCTCGAAGTTTCTATCTCTCTCTCCCTTCCTCTCTCTTTAAAATCAATAAAGAAAATAAATATTTTTAAAAAAATAAAAAATCGCCCGGCCAGTGTGGCTCAGTAGTTGAGCATCGACCCATACACCAAGGGGTTGCCATTTCGATTCCTGATCAGGGCACATGCCCAGGTTGTGGGCCAAATCCCCAGTGAGGGGCATGCAGGAGGCGGCCAGTCGAGGTTCTCTCTCATCGATGTTTCTCTCTCTACCTCTCCCTTCCTCTCTCTCTCTAAAATCAATAAAGGAAAACAAGAATTTTTAAATAGATAAATAAAAATAAAAAATAAAGAAAGGGAAGCCCAGAGGTTAAATGATTTGCCCAAGGTCCACAATAAGTTTGGATGTTGGATTCAAATCCACATTTAACTAACTTTCCAACTTGTGTTTTACCACATAATGGATTACAACCAGTGCTTATATAGCGCCTGGCACATGATAAGAGAACAGGTTATTTACATTGTTACCATAGCAATAAAAAAAAATTAAGGAGGAGACAAAAGAAATGAAAAAAACCTTAGATTCAATGTCCTTAGGCTCAATACCTAATTGCCCTGATTTACTTTAGATGTATAAGCACTTGTTTATTTTTCTGGTTCTCTTAAGATATTCACCAAACATTTTTTGCTAATTTAATTTCTCTCTATGATGCTATGAAAGGTTTATTTAAAGACCTATAAGATCCTATAACTGTGCAAACCACTGTATAGAACCTAGGCATTTTAAATTTTGAAGCATGTTCATAGCAAACTTTAAACAAACTTTAAGCAAATTTCCATGGGATTACTGTCTGGATTTTGAAATGGGTGCCAGAAACTGAGCCAGTCCATTCAGAATGTCCTTGAGTGACCAATCAGAAAGAAATGCAGTTTTTATTTGGCTGTATGTAAACATGCAGACACCCTCCTGTACACGTACGAAAACACACACCCTGCTTCTCTTTCCATTCTCTGCTGGAAAACAACGAGCAGCAGCACATTCCTGAGTTAAGTGGCTAGTACTAAGGCTGGAGGGAAATAATTCTGTGATGCTCAGCTTTAAATTGAAATGTGAAGTTCTAAAATCTAGGGGCATTTCTTTTGTAAACTCACCCTGGAAAAAAACTTTTTTATGTTTCCAGTTCTTTTAGATCAGCCTGAGATATGGGGTTCAGGCCAACCAGTTAATCCAAGCATCGAGTCGCCAAAGTTAACAAGGCCTTTTCCCACTGGAAGTAAGTTATGTGCCTGCTCTGTCTGGAAAAATAAGTGACTCATTTTACTGTCTGTCTGCATAGTGAAATTAGGCAACTCTTAGAAAGTCTACGTAAGTATTCAGAAGAGATGTTATTCTAACAGGTTTTAGAGTTAAAGGGACCAAGGGCAGGTTGTCAAAGCAGGAATCACATAAGTTAAAGTAAAATTAACTTTGGATGGTAGTCTCTTCTGATATTCCATAGTCTTACTTATTCATTCATTCATTCATTCGTCATTCATTCAGGATGTGTATGTAAGAGTAACGAGCCAGAGAACCTACTATGCTCCAGGAATGGGCTATCAGACGACACCGAGGTATCACACAGCACCAAGTCAGATGTGGTTTCTGTTAGTTCTACAGAACAACCGAGGCTGCATAGGATAGAAGGGACACATTAAGAGAAAAGAATGATAGTGGGAGCACAAGAAAATAATGCTGTATGTCAGATAGAAGCTGAGACAGGAGATCCCAGCAAATTTATCTTGAAGCAGGACCACCAGCCCAGCTTATTGCAGGTGGCTGGGGAAGGAGGTCCTGATCTTTAGAGCCCCTCACCTTGCAGTGAGTTGGGCTATTTGGGCTGAATGGATTGCTACTTCATCAAGCCACCTGTCTGATGGATTTATTGAGTTCTCATTTCAGTAGCCTTGTCATAGCAGATGTGCATGTGGAAAGTACTCCTTAAAAATCCCATGGGAGGAAAACTGGATCTCTGAGAAAGGTGTTTGGAGTGGAGGGGGATGCAGAGGATATTTTTACTCTGTGAAGCTCACAGAGACCAATTAATAATTTTTCCAGTTCAGCATCCCCAGAGCTCTGCTTTTTGGTGCCTAAAAATAATCATAGGAATTAACCAAGGAATTGTTAATCTACAGCCCAGAGTCTATTTGTTGGATATAAAACCATGTGATCCAGTCTTTCCAAGGATATTTCCTTCATAAAATAGGAAAAAACATCAACGACATTTTTTAAACTTGAACTTTCAAAGTTGTGTTTTCAAAGGATTAGAACCCCTTTGGGTATACCAGATATGATCAGTGATAAGAAAACATTCATTTAAAAAAAGAATAAGAGCCATGGTTGGTTTGGCTGAGCGGTTGGAGCATCGGCCTACGGACCAGAGAGTTCCGGGTTGGGTTCCCGCTAGGGGCACGTACCAAAAAAAAAATAGAAATAAAAAAAGAATAAAAAAAAAAAAATGTACTCTTGAAGCAGTAATTTCTAATTTTGCCCACAAAATGACAGGTCCATTTCAGACAGGTTGAAACCATAACACAATACCTTTTCTATCTTCAGGGGGTTTTAGTCATAATTTTTACCAAGGTAATGTGTTCGTTCTTCCTTAACTCAAGTCATTTTGTTTCAGACTCTCAAAAATACACTAAAATTTAAGACATATAACTTAGAGAAATCTTTCCAGACTCACTCTATATAAATCTATGTGGTCCAGTCTTTCCAAAGACTGGATATAATATCCTGACTATGTTCAAAACCTCTCACCTGAGTCCCCACCCATGCTGTTCTCATTTCCTTGATCACACCCTGGACTGTAACTATGTGTTAACATGATACTTAAGAATTCAGACATAAATTCCTTGAGGGCAGAAACTCCTTTTATTCAACCCTCTGTACCTGGTTCCTAGTACAGGATGTAGGAGGTTTGTCATGAAGTAATGAATGAATAAAATGATAATATTATTTTAGTTATTACCTGACATTCTTTTGGCAAATTTTTATTATCATAAAGTGGACGACTCTGAATGGGTCCTGCATCAGTCCCTTAGCTTTGAATTAAAAACAGTTTTAGACCATTAATGGCTATTCCATTTCCAAGAATTAGAATATGAATGAAAGCTTAAATACTGCTTCTCTGCAGAATATTGTGTAACTCAGGGAGAAAGTAATCAATAATATTTGGCTTCTCATCTCTTTGCAGCACCTCCACCACTGCCTCCAAAAAATGTACCAGCCACCCCACCTCGAACAGGCTCCCCGCTCACAGTTGCACCAGGTAAACTTTAGCTTTCTCTGTTTCAGGACAATTTGGCAATCAGAACAGTATCCCTGGACTTCAACATACCCATAATCTTTCGGAAGCTATAGACTAGATTCAACATGAAAATGTTTGCATTCAGTTCTGCTTCCACTATAGTCTACCATGAAGACTTATTTTAAAGAATCATTCTCAAGTTTCACAAACAATTCACTTTCTCAACTAATTTTCCTCTGTGTATTACTGCTGAATGAGGGCCACGTTTACTTGTATAATGAAAGAAAAAAATCTCAATGTTGGAAGTCATTGTTTAATTGATGTATCACTTCATTGGATCTCATTTTAATGATATGTAAATTAATAGTCTCAAGACACAATTTATCATTTTCCAAGAATGGGTAAAATTTTTGCCAGAATTAAAACTATTTAGTCTATAAAGACATAAAATGTTTCCCAGGATGTGCAGCACAATGGTAAACTCAGGTAATGGGGAATTTTTTTCTTAGTAATCATAAAAGTACTTATTATCTCATGGCAAAATGATGTGCAAAGATGATGAAATATGGCAAGCAATTGCTGCATGTCTCCAGACAGATAATTTCTAAGACACATTTTGATCTTCCATTAAAATCAATACTATATATTCATATAATTTATAATCTACCTAGTCTTATTGGGCTAGCAAGACAAAAGCAGTAATGGTTATTTTATGTGTCTGGGCCTTTAGAGCGTGGTTCTTTATCACCTTTAGAATTCTATTGCAGCTTCATGCTTCATCCTTTGCTATTTATGCAGCCTGGTGAGACTGATAGCTACAGAATGGAATATTTATCAACAAGAGCAAATGCAAGACATAGTCATTTATGAAATTTATATTAACTCAAACCCAACAGGGAGTCATCCCGAGTGTCATCGGTAAAGGTGTTTGCAAGTTCAAATCATTTTGGCCCCTTGTATAGCCATAAATATGTTAGCTATAAATAAATCTACCATGAAATTATAAATATTGTGGACTATGCAAACTGCTACCCCATTTATCTGTAGCCTTGGAACCTTGAATACTAACTCCTTTCAAACATGGAATATGGAAGCACTACGCTGGTTCTTGTAGCCGAAGGGTTATTTGAAGGTGAAGTGCTTCTGCCCACGCCCTGCAGTTATTTAGGTAACAGTTTCTAATTGGAATAACCTCAATTTTTAAAAAGCGTACTTTCTCACAATGCAGTTGTTATATCTTTTCTTCCAAGCTATAGAAGGTAGTTTTGAATTTATTTTCATATTACTGATAAGAATTAAAAAGAATAACTGATGCTGATGTTTATCAAAACATAATTTTCTGTCTCATGACTTCAGATAGATTTATATCAGTTATGCCTCTGATTTTAACTGATTAGACTTGATAAAAAAGAAATTATACAGATGATTTTATAATTTTCTTCCCTGTTAAACAGGTATATATGTATGTAACAGTTCTAATAAGTAGTAAATGCCTTCTGAACAATCTATATGTGTGTTGTGTGTGGGGTGTATATGTGTATGTAAATATACACATGGGGATATCCCTTTAAATAATATTTGTACTGTGTTTCTGGTATATTTAAGGTGGAAGATATACAGCTAATTATGATGTGCTATTCTTTTAAACTAACAGATATTATAGTTAGTTTTACCAGGCATTTTTATTTAATATGCTAGAGTAGATAATCAAATATGAGGGTGATTTTCAGTTTTTTTTAAACTGTATTAGATATTTCAGTAGGCCAGATTTTTACAAGGGACCTCCCTTTTGGAATTTGCAGTCCCCAAGCCCGTACTTTGCAGTGACCCTGACACTACCTTCTCAGAATGATCACACTCTGCACTCTTGTGAGCAGCCCTTGAGAGCACAGCATGCTCAGCACTTTTGATGATGGTAAAAGTAGCTAACGGGTCACCTTGCAAAAGGGTAAATAATCACATAAAATGATGATGCTCACATTCTGCAGGCAGGGAACTCTCCCATCCCCTTCAGCTCTGATCAAGATATTTTTACATCATGAAATATCCCCAGTGAGGTACCTCGAAAGACAACCTATTTACCAGGCTTTGCCTCACCCTTCCCACCCCATATAAATAATATTAAAGTCAATTAAAGTTTTAAATCAACTACTTTAACCACAGGAAATGACCAGTCAGCCACAGAGGTCAAAATTGAAAAACTACCATCAATCAATGACTTGGACAGCATTTTTGGCCCAGTGTTGTCCCCCAAGTCTGTTGCTGTTAATACTGAAGAAAAGTGGGTCCATTTTTCTGATACATCCCCGGAACATGTTACTCCAGAGTTGACTCCAAGGGAAAAGGTGGTGTCCCCACCAGCTGCATCAGAAAATTCAGACGACTCCCCAGCTCTGGGCCCTTCGAGCCCCCCAGGCCCTCCAGGGACCCCTGGTCCTCGAAATGTGCCATCGCCACTCAATTTAGAAGAAGTCCAGAAGAAAGTCGCTGAGCAGAGCTTCATTAAAGATGATTACTTAGAAACAATCTCATCTCCTAAAGATTTTGGGTTGGGACAGAGAGCAACTCCGCCTCCCCCACCACCACCCACCTACAGAACTGTGGTTTCGTCCCCCGGACCTGGCTCGGGCAGTGGTACGGGGACCACCAGTGGTATGTCTTACTGTTTGAGTGTGCTTCATGTGACCGGGAATGGCCGTGGCTGCTGCTATGAGCAACACCCTCCTCCTGCCTGGCAGTTGGCTTTAGAGCTTCAGAATCCCTCCTTTGGTTTGGGTGTCCTGTCGCCCTGTGGCATGTCCTGGTCCATCGAATGCTCGAAGTCATCATGCAAGTCTGTCGATGTGTTCTGCCCTGCCCTCCCAACCCTGAGATGTGCCCAGCCTCCCACCCTGCAGTTAGGAAGTGTTTGTTTTTAAACAAAGCTTTGCTGTCATTATTTGGAATTCAGGAAAATTCTAGAAAGACATTTCATAGCCAGTAAGTTTTCATGTTAAATATCTGATTTTCTTGTCAGATGTTTTTATAAGGGCCCTAGTTTTTTTTTTATGTTTTTTTTTTTAAGTTTGTTTTTTTGTTTTCAGCTTTATTGAGGTATAATTGACAAATAAAATTGCAACCTATTTAAAGTACACAACTTGATGATTTGATATACATATATATTATAAAAGGATTTCCCACATCAAGTTAATTGACACATCTATCACCTCACGTTTACTTTTTTTTTTTAGTGAGAACATTTAAGTTCTGCTCTCAGCAAATTTCACCTATACAATATAGTGTTATCAATTATGCAATACAGTCACCATGCTACACATTATATCCTCAGACTGTTTTAATCTTATAACTGAAAGTTTATATTTCTTTTTGCCAAGGGCCCTAGTTTTTATAAGTCAATATGGGTTTCTTCTACTTTTTGTGTGTGTGTGTATGAACAGAAGAAATAGTTTGAAAATGAGATTTTAGCCCTGGCCGGTTTGGCTCAGCGGTTAGAGCGTCGGCCTGCGGTCCAGAGAGATCCGGGTTCGGTTTCCGCTAAGGGCACGTTACCTCGGTTGCAGTTTGTCCCCGGCCCTGGTTGGTCGTGCGGGTGGCAGCCACTCGATGTGTCCCTTCACATCGATGTTTCTCTCTCTCTCTCTTTCTCTCTCTCCCTCCTGCTCTATCTGAACAAAAAATGGAAAAATGTCCTCAGGTGAGGATAAAAAAAAAAAAAAGAAAAGAAAATGAGATTTTAGGGGACAGCAAAAAGGAGGTGCCTCACTGCATCCCCAACCTAATCACGCTGCCACTTAAGACAAATTATTCTCTGGTTTCTCTTTGACGTATCAACTCTAAGTGTGGTGACAGGAGATGGGAAAGTCTATCAGAAATATATGTTTGGGAAAAATATATGCAAATATTGACAATGAATCTGAGTTTTTAGCTTTTCTCATTTGAAGTTTTATTTTGCATTCTGAAATTATGAAAGGAAGGGAATACCTACCTTGTATACCAAAGAAAGATCAAGATTTTTGTAATGCATCTTCTTCCATATTGTTTATTCTGCTGGTACACATGTTTGTCTGGCAAGTCCCTCCAGTGCCTGTGAGTTCTGTTTAGGCACCTTCCTGAGGGTGCCATGTGTTGTTTGTTTTTCATTTGCTTTGAAAAAGGATACCAAGTTTAAGTTACTTAGATCTAGTAAGAAACAGAAAGGAAAGACACCTGTCTCTATTCTAATAATCAGTCCTCATTGCTGCCTCTTTCATTGGAGTATCTTTCAGTATTTGCTCTGTGTGTGCAAGTTCCTCTGGGTTTTAAAATGAGCATCCATGCTGATCAAGGAGAGGGCTGAAGATTCATCTGTGCTGTACACAAAATAGTTATTTTATATCATTAAATATGCCCTCTGTGCCCTCCTCCACTAAAAAATGAAAACTATTCAGTATTCAAATAAGTTTGAGAAACGTGTCAAAATAAAATCAGCTGATTTTTTTCTTCTTCTTTTTTTTAATCCTCACCTGAGGATATTTTTTCCATTTATCTTCAGATAGAGTGGGAAGGAAGGGGGAGAGAGAGAGAGAGAAACAGCAATGTGAAAGAGACGCATCTACTGGCTGTCTCCTGCAGGACCCTGACCAAGGTCGGGGACAAATTGAAACTGAGGTTCACATCCTTGACTGGAATGGAACCCGTGACTCATTGGTCTGAGGGCTGATGCTCTAAGTGCTGAGCCAAAGCAGCCAGGGCAGCGGATTTCTTTCTTTTTTTTTTTACCATAGTACCTCTGAAAGCCTTTATTTTGCCAATAGTAGCAACAGCTATGGTTTCTTGTTTGGCACCATGCAAGTGCATATTATTTTATCTTCACAACAACTCCATGTGGTAGATACTCTTATTTTCCCCATTTTGCAGCTGGGGAACTGAGGCCTGGTGGTATCCAATAATTTGTCCAAGTTTTCTCAGCTAGAGGTGATAGTCTTGGGATTCATACTCAGGTCTGTCTAATCCAGAGCCTGTATTTGTAACCACTGTTGTCTACAGGCACTCTTCTAAGGTTTAGCTACAAAATATCCCAAACTTAGTTATGACTGACACTCACCTGTGCTGCTCTGTATCACCAGTAAGATCACAGATATTCTCTGAAAACATACTCCTCAGAGTATACTACTCAATGCTCCTCTCTATGAATCTAGAAGGTTAGAGCACCCACCTTCATCCTCTGTTGCTTTTTTTAGGTCTTTTCTGGGATATAAGGTCCCTGTAAAGATTATCTCTGTAAAGATAATAAAGGGCCTCTAGGTAAAGCCTTCATTTTAGGCCTCAAACCCAAGTGAAAGAGGATCACATTTCTGTTGCCTTCTATGGGGCTTTCTTTCCTGGGTCAGGCCCTCGGTCTTCTGAGAGGGCATTTCAAGGAATAATGCCCTCTCTCCAGGGGCAGGCCACTAAGCTCTTGTGCAGGGAGGAGAGGACAGGGAAGCTTCGTTTTTTCCTCTGTGTTTCCATCACCTTCCACAAGGTTCTGGGAGACGTTTGTTTAATTGAATTGACCACTGATACAATGAGTGGAGAGAGGAGCTTTGGCTTTCTTTCTGAAACCTTTCGGAGTTTCATTGTTTCAATGTTTAGCTTCCATACTCTTATTTGAAATCACTTTAAAATGTTGCCAGTAAAGGCTATTGATTCTTAATAATTGAGCTGGAAAAAAAACTATACTTTGCTGGTATTAAAGGATTAGATTTCTAAGTGGAAGATTGAACTGGGCCAATGAAGCTCATGAATAAATGAAACTTTGCATCATTATCTCCTTAATTAAGTCCCAGTTTATTTGCTGTGTAATGTTTTATTGATGGAATATACACAGACTGGCAGAAATGTAAATTTAGGATTACAGAAATAGGATGTGGCCTCATGTTTTAAAAATCAGTGATGCTTCTCACTCCCTGCTCTTTATAACACTTAGCCTGATAAGACTAGCTTTTCCTGTACTTCTCCAACTCTGTTTAATTGAATACCATTATGCTCACTTTTTAAAATTTCATTCAAAGTAAGGTAACTGTCACCCACCAATTTTAGGCAGTTCTCACAGCTTTGTTAAAAAGAGTTACCTGCTGTTGAAAAACAATAGGAAGTTAAGAATTTGCTTCAAGAAATTTATTTCCTTGTGGCAAAAGTTAAAAATACCTAGCTTGGCCAGAACATGGCTTTTCTGGAATGCAGACTCTGATTCTTGGCAAAGGCTGTCTCTTCTGTGTGACTTGTGTGCCAGGGGATGGAAAGGAGAAAGTATCTCATTGGCCTGCAGCAAATGTGGAGGCCAGGAAAAGAGAGGTGTTAGTAAAGATAAGATGTTCTTCTGTGCAACATTTTCCAACTCGGGATACTAAAGCAATATTAAAAGATGTTACACACACACACACCCATAGCAAGTGAGTTTCAGTTACTTGGGTTTGAATTAACCAAATATATTTCTTAACTACAAGTCTTTTAGAGCAGCAGTGTTCAATATGGAAGCCACTAGCCACATGTGGCTATTTTAATCTCAATTATAATTCATTAAAATTAAAAATAGTTTCTTACATGCACTAGGCACAATTCAAGTGTTCAATGGACGCATGTGACTAGTGTCTGTCTCATTGGACAGCACTCATTCTGGAACGTTTTCATCACTGCAGAAAGCTCCACTGAACAGTACTTTATTAGGACTTGTAATGTGCTGGTCCCTGAAAAAGAATTAGAGTATGTAACCATTCCCACACATACTTAATACTTTCTTCAAATGATGAAATTGTGTTCTAAGAAACACAATTGGAAAAGGCTGTTTCGTTTTTTACATATTTTGAAATGCATATATTTTATTTCACTTGATTCTTCCCACGATCTTGTGATGTAGTAGCCTCATTGTACAGAGAGGAAACAAAAACTCAAAGATGGAATTTGGCCATAATCACAAAGCTAATAAGTAGTAGAGCCAGCATCTGACCCCAGGTCTGTTGGATTCCATTTACTACTTCTCCCCAGGTGCCCCCACTGCCCACCTTCACCCACCTACACACACAAAGAGGGATGAAAGTTGAAGCTATATTTGCATTTTTTCCAGCGGTTACCAGAGAAACTATGATGGGACTTCAGGTTGAGAGTAGCAAATGTGTTGAGAACATGTCAATGGTTGCCAACCTTTTTCAACTCACAAACTCAGATAATTTATATGTGATTTTTAAAGTTAAGCCTTAACTGGAGATGTTGTCCAGTTATTTCCAGCATTGTTCTTGGGAATAAAAACTGCTTGAAAGAAAATGAAAGTATAATTGAGGATCAGAGAATGATAGAGATGTATAAATAATAACCTCTAACTCTTAAAATGGGAAACAATTGTGTAATCTCACAAAAGCAAGTGAAGCCTTAGTTTAGTTGTGAAATACCCACTCAGGCCCTGAATATCCTCTGTTGAACCTCAGGGTTCTGTCAGGTAGGGTTGGATTCTTAAACACTCCCTTAGTGTCTTCCAACTACATAAAAATTAAATCAATTCAGTAAGGAAAATATGAGTTAATAAAGTGTCCATAAAGAAAAACAGTTAACTAACCTCTTTTTTCTTTGTTTTTGGTTCTACCTTTATGAAAAGACACATCTTTACCATCATCATCAACATCTATTGCCTTCCATTTCTGTAGCATTCTATAGTTTAGTAAACACTTTCATAAGCATTTTTCATTTTGATTGTTACAACTGAAGCATCTTATTTTTTGAAACAGGAACTAATATTCAGAGAGGTTAAGACCCCCTTGTTGATAGGGGCAGGCAAGGCCAGAACTCAAATAATCTGTCTTTTCATCCAGTTTTTTCAGTATTCCACACTGCCTTAATGCTAACCCCTTGCTACTTTCACAAGCATTACTGAAATTTTAAAGCATTACTTTAAAATTTCCTTTCTGGAACATGTAGGAAAAGGATAAGCAACGGACCTTTCCTGAGATTGATTCGGAAGACTATTTCTTGGAAATAGACCCATGACTAGACATTTTGAACCATTCCTATGCATGGTTTTCCAGCAAAATAAAAAACCCCAAAAAGCCCCAGGGAACTTCCTGACAAAGACTTTGTTGTTTAAAAGTTTATTTCCCATCTCTTTGCTGTCACTTCTGTTTTCTGAAAACATCCTGGGTACCCAGTAAATCTATTAACTTAAAATAAAACTTTGCAGTGAGAACTGTCAAAACATACCTCATTTTCTTCTGTTCAAGAGAAAATTCACCCAAAAGACTACGAATATTCATATTGAGAGAGGTATGTGCAAGTTCCCCCTTCAAAAATAGGACCAAGCTTTATGCAAGATGTTGAACTCCATAGTCCACCCAAGGCTACAAGACAGTGCGTTTGAGCTTGAGCTTTGGAGTTAAATAGATCATTTGAGCTGTGTGACCTTTAGCAAGTTACTGAATATCTCTGAGCTTTACTTTCCATTGAAACAGTAACCATACCTTTCTCTAAAGCTTACTGTGGAGATAAAATAAGATCGTGGCTAGCATACATTCTGGCCCACTAAAATATAATGCAAGAATATAGTAAAAAGGTGGTAGTGATAGAGAGGAGATAGATGTAGGGATGGGGAAGGTGATAATAATTAGTAGGATTCCCCACTAGTGAAATTCCACTTAAAATAAACTGCACAGAGAAACACAACATGCCAAGATTTCAGGGTGTTTAAATATGAGGAGCAAAGTTTACCCCCAGGGACTCTCCTAAGATAGGAGCAGATGCTGAGATGATGAGTTTATTGCTCAACTTTTTTGAGAATCTGAAAATCTAGAGATGGAGATGCTGGTCTAGGATTCTCCAAGGAGCACGGTTTTATGTCGTATTGGAAGGGAGCAGGTATTTTCCTGGGGCAGGATTTCCTCGAATTTTCTTGGAATGATTTGACACCTGTGCTTCTAACCGAGGTGACAAAACATCTGGAGTAGTTGAAATGTTTCTGAACAAGAATTGTTGGGAATATTGATTTGACTATTTAAGGGTTTGAGCCAAGCTGTTGACCCATGTATCCCAGACACATGAATGATGATAGGTGGACCCCTGAGTCTAAAGCCCCTGCTGGTGTGCTAACCAGTGTGCATGCCGGCCTCTGTGTGTTGTCTGCTTTTCACAAGTTTGTCAGTGACAGCCAGAAAAGTAAATCCAAGAGGCTCTTTTAAAAATCATCACAAAACTCATTGTGGGAAAATTCTGTGTGGAACACATTCCTAAGCAGCCTCTTTCAAAACCTGCAGTCCTCTCGATTCACTGTGTTTCTGTTAAACACAAAGTACTCGTGTAACATCTAATTTACCCTCCTATATTTTGTCCTTTGCTTACCACCAAGTGTTTGTTTACATTTCTAAAGCTAGCACTCATATTTTGAAGCATAGTAAATAGGGTAAATCTCTTAACATGTTTAAACATATATAAATAATGTGGAAAAATAATTCATCTTCCTTCAAGTTCTAACCTCTGTTTTCATCTAGGACATAAATATGTTCAAAACATGCAAAAAGCAAAGTAATTTATCATAAATTTGACATACGTGTGCTCAAAATGAAAGCTACCCTCCACCCAGCCAAAAGAGTCTTAAAAACATACTGTATGTCACTAAGAAAAGGATTTACCTTTCACTGGATGTCACATGACAACTAAAGGCAATGAGCTTCAGCTTCTGCCATCAACCACAGTTCAAATGAGTGACTTTTGTTTTTCTATATTAAAAAAAAATACTAAGTGCTACGGTGTTGAACATAGTAATGGCTGAAGTGAAAAGAGTGTCCAGGGCTGGCGTTGCACCATGGGGATGGGGAAGGAGAGAGTAAGTGATGACAGCACTTTGGCCAGCTGTGTGTCCAGCTCTTTTTAACACCAGCTTGTTTTACAGGTGCATCGTCCCCTGCACGGCCAGCCACTCCCTTGGTTCCTTGCAGCAGCACCACCCCACCTCCACCTCCACCCCGGCCTCCATCTCGGCCAAAGCTACCTCCAGGAAAACCTGGAGTTGGAGATGTGGTATGTTCCCTTCTGCCCTGGCCTGCTCAGAAACTCATGGTGAGGAGGACAAACAGGAGTGAAAAACCTTCACACAGACACCTCCACTTCCAGTCCAAGCCTCAGGTCATTTGTACAAATGGCCCTGACAGGTGGCATCTGAAAGGCAGTCGCTGCAGGATGGGTGTATATTTCAACCCTCCTCAAATCTCTACCACCTTTCAAGCCAGGGTCTAAAATGGTAGGAATAGGGATGTTAGGGCCCCAGTTCTGCTACAGTGGGTTTAATGCCAATCAAGACAGTAATGCTCAATTGTGCTGAGCCTTTAGAAAGGGGAGTGTTTCTTTCACAGTTTATATTTGGTTTTGAAAGACCCCAAGAGAGAGCGAGTCCTCATTTCTATCCCCAGCTACAGAGAAGTTGTCGGTAGTGGGTACCCTATGTAAATATAAAGAAGAGTGGTGGCCCAATGAGTTTGTTCTGGACGTTTTTTACATCATGTTTTTAGGTTAAGGGGTGGAAAACATTCTTTGTGAAGAGTAAGGATTTGTAGCAGAGGTTAATTTCTTTGGCATCTATGCACAAGAGCCACAAACTGGTGATACTCATATTTGGTTTAGCTAGCACACTACAGTATTTTGTATCTAAATGTCTTTCAGTGAATCTTAGCTCTCATTATGTTGCCTGCTTAGTCCCTGAGAGCGTGTGAATTCACAGTCCTGAAACATCACTGACCACATCACAGATCTCCGCTTCTTTAAGTCGCACACACCTACTGAGTGTAGCACTTTGTGGTTAATGGTTCCTCTAGCTCCCTCTACAAGATCTTGTGTAGATATAATCATTTTCAGTGTAAAAAGGTGTCACTTGTATTTCTAAGAGTCTGAGTTGTTATATAGCTGGGGCTGGGATACATGAAACATATCCCAGCTGGGGCTGGGATACATGGAACAAAAATACTATGACCTGTGTATCTAACTTTCCATCTCTTTTCTTCTCTCTGCAGCCCAGACCTTTTAGCCCTCCCATACATTCTTCCAGCCCTCCTCCGATAGCACCCCTAGCCCGGGCTGAAAGCACTTCTTCAATATCGTCCACCAATTCCTTGAGTGCAGCCACCACTCCCACAGTTGGTAAAAATTATCTCTCTTTTAATCCATTTGTGGTTTGACTGGGTTTTTTGTTTGTTTGTTTGTTTGTTTGTTTGTTTTTTGGTCATATTTATGACCTGAAAACCCCAAGGCCTTATGTTTCTGGTCAAAATTGATTTGCTGTGTGTTTCGCTACTATCATCTGACTCTTCTTTTGAAAGCACCTTCTCAGCAAAGGAGGCAGAGTGCTTTAAACTAGGTAAATAAATAAAGGAACATCAACATCTATGTTTTGCAGGAATTCTCTTAATGCTAGTCCATATAGAGCTTTTCATAAAAGAAAGGAAGAAATCGTCAAATAAGGTCCAGTAATTTAGATATTATTTCTTATAATCAAAATCATCCCCTTTAAGGAGGAATGTTTATTTAAATTCCAACAGTGCACCACCCCAGAAATCACCAAATTTAGAACTTTCATTTCCCTGAAGCATTCATTTCTTCATCACTTTTGGTTCTTCTTATGTTGAATGATGGTATACACATTGGCATTGTGGGACTTGAGCAAACTTTTAGACATTTTTTTCTAGTGCTTTTCAGTGATATGTGGTTAATGTTCCCTGAGAGGGAAATCATTGCTAGCATTCCCAGTAAATGCCGTTGTGCCTCTTTCCTTACGGTGTGATAAAAGTGAAGGGTGAGACCGGCTGCTCGGCTGGATGGTTTCCCAGGTTTAAATGCCTCATTTTGCCTGGAGTTTCTCCCCTTTTCCTCAGGCAGGTCTTCATACGTCTTCACTCATCTTCCATAGGCTCCTACCACCTCTCCTGTTTGCATGGTGTCTCTGACCTGGGGCTTTTCCATTCCATTTTTTCCCATCGTCTTCCTTCATTGTCAGAACTCCCCTCCAAGTCTCCCATATTATAAACCATCGACTATTCTGCTTTGCTTGGGAGAATCATTAACCTGAGCTAAATAAATTCCTGCCACTCACCAAGAGCACAGGAGCACGCTGCGGAGTTGTTCATGTGAATAGTATCTTGATCAAAGCCTGAAGCTCTTCTGGGGAAAAAAACTCTATTTTCCAGTGGAATAAGTTAAGTTATGCCTCTTAAGGGCCCTAAAGAGAAGTTCAACTATATCACATGCTCTATATTATTAATTAGACCAGTCCAAAAGAATCCTTCAAATCTGTGAAAATATAACGAACTATGCAGTCATATGATGCACTAACAGACACTTAACATTATATATATATATATGTTTTCTTTGTCTGCATCATTAATTGGGGCAGTTTGGGGCTTCCTATTTTTATATGCCTATTAGTTCATTTCTTTCTGTTTGTTTTAGTTTGTTGTTTTTTTCTGTAACATTCCAACCTTATTTTTGAACTCTAGTACTCTTGATTGTTACAGCCATTTTCCCCACTCCTGCTCTGGCTTTCCATTGTTCGCTTGTTTTCTACTTGCACCACCTACTCCATGTGACTTTCCTGGTTGGTCAAAGAGGAAAGTGAGAATAAACTGTCACTCAGAAAGCAAACCTCGAGTGACCTCAGATGACTGTCTAACATGTCCTTTCAACTCATTGAAATTCAGAGAAAATTGTACACACAGGGAATTTGAATTGTGTCTATGTTTTGTACAATGTGTTTTTATACTCCCTGCTGCCAAAATCTCAAATCCTGGCCAGTGACTTTAATTCTGAACACATCTAGTATGCAATCTTTTAAGATGCACTATGGAGGGGTTTATAAAAAGCTACCTGAGAAGATAGTCACATTGCTTCATTGCTGTAGATTATTCTGATTTAATCTGTTTGGTCTTGTTATTTTGTAATTTCATTTTCATCTTCCCGCTACATTCCTCACTCTCCTGCTCTTTATTTCCTGCTGCTGTGGGTCATCTGACAGCCACTTCTCATTGTCAAATGACTGACTGCCCAGAGCTTCGAGTGTACTAGTGTTTCTCTCTTTTTAGAGAGGATGTGCTTTGGCTAGTCAATACCAGAGGACTGACCATTTTGGGATGTCAACTTAGTGAAGTCAGAGGGCTCCAGGAGATAGAGTTACAGCAGCAAATTCCCTGAAGCTGATGGCTCAACATTCCCCTCCCACCACCACGATATTTTTTGACATTTCCAGTCACTCTTGAGCCAAAATTGAGTCAAGTGTGGTGAGAATCAATAAGCAAAGTTTAATTTAATTTAAAGACTAAAATTTTAAGAGCAAGTTTAATCATCCTACATGACAATTCATATAAAAATATGCTCCTATAAGACTTTGGGCATAAAATCTTTCATGAGAGCTGTGACTATAGAGCAGTAAACCTGATGCCACACCTGAAAATAGGACTTTCTGTGTATTGTCACACTCAAATAATGAAGAGCTGCTGTGCAACTATACTTCACTGAATTTAAGGCAATGTTGATTAGAAGATGCACTGTTGTTTTATGTATGACTGAGAAAGGGAGGGGAAAACTGGCAATTGAACTAAGATGCAATGCTTTCTTATCACAGCGGTTTTAAGGTTCATCCCAATTTCAGAGAGGTTTAAATATGAAGAAGTACACATCTTAGAACCAATGAAATACAATAAACTCTTTTTGTACTCTGAAAAACCTCACAAGACCTTCATTCTATGATTTTGAGGAAAAATCTATTAATATTATGGGAATAGAGAAAATATATAAAGTTATTCTATTATAGGAAATAAACTCCTAGATATTTGAGGTAGAAATAAATAGAGAACTATCTCTAATTGTAGATATCCATTTTTATTTCTATGGATGACAGTCAGGTTTTTTAGATGTTTGCAGAATCTTCATTTGGGACCCGAGTGCAAAAAGACCACAGTAAAGACAATTTTTCCTCATTGTTAAATTCACTGTTAATTATATTCCTTCACTGTAAATTATATATTTTAATTTGCCTCTTTAATATCCCAGGAATCTGTAATGAATGAGAAGTAATCATTTGTGGGCAACAAAGGCAGTGTCAGTGGACTTTGATGCTTCCTTTGGTGTAGACTAGAACTTTGAGCAAACTCATTTGTATGCAGTACTAGGGTGTTAACTGTAGCATCTAAAATTTAAAATGTTTCCTCCAGGCCTTTGTCTCTGCAAGCTGGAGGGCAATTCTGAATTAGATAAGCTTTCTTTTAAAAATACCTGTATTGCCCTGGCTGGTTTGGCTCAGCGGTTAGAGCGTCGGCCTGCAGTCCGGAGAGACCCGGGTTAGGTTCCCGCTAAGGGCACGTACCTTGGTTGCAGTTTGTCCCCGGCCCTGATTGGTCGTGCAGGTGGCAGCCACTCGATGTGTCCCTTTCACATCGATGTTTCCCTCTCTCTCTCTTCCTCTCTCTCCCTCCCACTCTATCTGTACAAAAAGTGGAAAAACGTCTCAGGTGAGGATAAAAAGATAAATAAAAATACCTGTATTAATGCCAATTATCCTATACAAAAAGAAAAACAGGCGTTTGGAGGTAGATATTCTTGATCCCAATGAAAAATTAACCACATATAATTTTAGTCTTTTTCTTTTTCCTTCTACAATTTTTTGGAAAAGCCTGACCCCAGTACTGGCTTTCTCATCCTAGATGAATTTGAGGCTATCTCCATTCCTTAAGGAATGGTTGGTCCTTAAGGAAATTTGTTCTTCTGCATTTAATTGGAGTGTTACCCTTATTTAAACCAAGCACAGAGCTGTTCAATGACTCCTTTTTTAAGTTTTCTGATTCATTTAGTATGTTTTCTTCTAAGTCCTCAATGTCCACAACCACCATAAAATAAATCATAAGCACAATAATCAACCCTGTGAACTACTGTTTTGTAACTTCAGCTCAAATAACAAATAGCGGTATTGGAGGCTCCTCATTTTAATGAGATTGTAAATAGGAAATTCATTCTTCAAAAGAAAGGAATATACTCTATCATCTCCCACTCGTAGGTATGAAAAGCATTGTTACATTCAGTTACTGCCAATGAAACTGTTTTGCTTCCTATTTTCTCTAGAGACTATGGAGTGTCCTCAGTGCCAGTTAGTTCCATTTGTCCTGTTCCTGTTCAACAGATATAACAGGAGTTGCATTAACTTGTTCTAGTCTCCAAGGAAGCCACATGTATAAGAAAAACTAATTAATAGGTGATGTCCTAGAACCCTAGGTACTGACAAAGAAATCGTTTCCCTGCTTTACTCTCTAAGTCTAGGAGACAAGCTAGTAGGATATTTTCCAAGAAACATTGTTTATGAAATAGTTTTACTACCCTCATTCATTTCCTTATCTTCTCTACATCGTAGGAAGGATTCTCCCTTACTGGTCTTTGTACAGATTTTACTCAATTTTCTATTAAAGTTGTAGTAATACCCTTAGGATGTATGACATTGATCTTTTTTTTATATCAGATAGACTCTATCTGATATAGTATTATTAGTAATACTCGAATTACCTGTTAGCTGGTGAGAAGGGGGATCACGAGCAAAGGTCTGGAATACTTGGCGTCCATAGCACCTGTTGAAGCCAATTAACAAAGACATGTGGCCATAGTTGGACACTGTAGCCAAAGATGGAATTACAGTAATGCTGTTCAGAATGAACAGTCTATAACCACCAAAGACAGGTACAATGCAAATTGAGTTTGGATATTGATGAAGTTGAAATGAGATGCTTCATTCAGGAACCTCAGATTTATACGGTTGCTTTTTTATGGCCTTGTTAAAAGCTTCCTCTTTCCCCAAGGGGGGAAGTGCATGCTGGGTGATTCTGTTGAGCTGTCACGAGAATCTGTTGATGGACATATGTCTGGCCACTTGAGAATTGTGTCTGAGTGAAATACACTTGCACAAGTCAATTATTAATGATAGTGCCTTTGACAACTCCCTGAATAGGTGGGGGCGTGATTTCTTCCATGGAGCTGAGTTCAACCAAATTCAGATGCTAAAACCTGGCATTTTTTAAATTATAATTTCTTTTCACAGCATCATCATTAAATAAGCACATTGCTTTTTTATATCCTGGTCATAATCCCAGTGTCTTAGGTTTTATTTTCTTTTTCCATTAAAATCATTCCTGTGTTTTGATCAGCAGTCTATGACCTAGTTTTCATTTGGGATTTGTATTTGTGTTTTTGTTTTCCATCCCTTTATATTTCTTTGGTTCGTAGTGTCAGAAGATGATGTTTTTTATGACAAACTGCCCTCATTTGAAAGGCGCTCTGAAACCCTTGCAGGTATGGTGCTAGTCGAGTGATCTCTACATATCTAGACGTTAAAAATCCAAGCCATTATGCCATCTGAATGCTATAAATGTCATGGACATGCTACTCACCCCATGAGTGTCCAGTGCCTCTCAGATGCACCCTGTCTGTTTAGTTTACTGTCCATTGTGGAACTCATGCCATTGATTTTTTAAGTGAACATATTAAAAAGCAGCAGGTTGCATGACAGTTTCTCAGCAAAAAAAGGTTTGAAAAAGGTGAGATGCTATTGCTTTGTGAATTTACAAAGGCAGGAATAATTTAACTGCTCAGAATTACATGTCCAGTGACTGCTTTTTAATTTAAAAAGTAATAGAGCACCGTTAGTAATCTTGTTTTCTCTTTGGTACATAGGTAAAGGGTGTTTTGTGTCTGGATGCCTAAGGTGATTCCAGGGAAGGGGATGGAAGATCTATGACATCTTCCAGGAACATTAGATTGATATGCAATGCTGTTGTCATTTAAAACCTCAGCTAAGTTTATATAACCCGTAACTCCAAGTTTATCTTTTTTAAAACTTAGAAGGGGATGACATTGAAGATGAAATGGATACAGCAATTGCTGAATGACAGTTTGCCCAAACTAGTGCAGTTAAAATATGCTGACGCCCCTGCATGGCCAGGAAGACTTCTGCTCCATGCCACAAGCACCGAGTATCAAGCTACCAAAACACATGCCCATCCCTTTAGGCCTCCATAGCTTTGCTTTGCTTTCTGTTTCCTGAACTAAAAAATAAAAGAAAAAAAATTAACCCATAGATTGCCAGCCTTCCCTTTTCCCTGCACGCTAATGGCATGCAGTGCCTCCGCCCTCCCCAATAGTGAGATTAATGACCTGCTTTGTAACTCATACTGTATCCTTCTCTCTCCCTCTCCTTAACCTTTCCCATCCCGCCTCAACTCCTGGCCATACAGAGAATGAACAGCCTTCCCTCGTTTGGTTTGACAGAGGAAAGTTTTATTTGACTTTTGAAGGTAAGTAGTACATAGCATACCAGATTCTAATTTCTACGCCCCTCATCCTTCTTCACCATCTGCATTTCAGAACCCCAGTTCTCTTCAAAAGACCTGGTCTCACTCTATCAAATGCTATGGCTACTCAGAAAATATTAAATACTAAAGAAATATTACATGAATTCGGTTTGTATGGGATCTTCAATTTTTTATATTAAAAAAATTAAAGTTAATTTGCAGTTAATATTAGTTGCTTAATTAACTGTGTGAAATTGAAAAAAAAATACCTTTTTTGTCTAAGGAACTTAACTCTGTCAACCAGGGCTTCTTCCTAACACTTTTGCAAATGCAATGCAACAAATATGAGGACATTTTTCGTTGAAATTGGCATTTAACTCTGTTTTGAATCATTAATATTTCAGATATAACATCCATTATTGTAAAGTGTAAATATGTATATATATCTTTATGACAAGGAAGCTGCATAGAAGATCAGAAAAATGAGGAAGAGGAAAAAAAGAGGGGGTATTTTAGTAAGTTCTGTTTACATCTCCTGAAATTACTACTGAAATGACTGTTGTAAAACGGACAACTATCTCTGGACTTGCCATGTTAAAAGATTAAAGAAAATATACATAAATATGTAAAATATTCAACCTCAGTGTTGGATAACTTATGTTTTGCATTAAGGATTAGCATGCTTCTGTTTCATATTTAAATTCTAAATCATTTATATCTAAATTCTAAATCAGGCCAGGCATTTGATAAACTAATGGTAGAGAAAAAAAATAAAGTAATTTAACTTAATTAATGGGTCATCTTATACTTAAATATTTATCACTCAATCCCCTATCTTCTATTTTAAATAGCTGAATGTATCCAGGAGTCAAAAGTTGGCCAAAAAATATTCTACTCTAGATTTGAATCCAAATATTGAACTTGTGTTTATGTTTCATAACAACAAAAAAACTTTTCTAACTTGAATGTGTGTTTTAAAGCAATTTTAAACGTGGAAATGACTGATATATCCTTAAGTAGTTCCTGTGGTGTGGCTTTTATGTCTCATCAGTATATTTTCCTTGCAAGATGGTCCTGGGGATGGAAGTCCTTAGCTTGGAGTAGTTTGAATAGCAGCAGAAAACATGGTCTGATTTAAAACTTTCCAAATACCTAATTTCTTATCCTGGCTCAGGTAGAGGACAGGAAGACAGGCAGTCCATGTCATGTCAGAAGCCCTGATTGTCTCAGGCCATTAATTTTGTAATAACCAAGAAGCAAAGTCTACAAACTTGTGACCTTCTACACTTTCTCTTTGAATCAGAGAGAATTAAAAAGTGCCCAGGTGTCTTTTTTACTGATCAGCACATCTGAAAAGGAGAAGCTGTGGTTGAATAGGTTGGTGATCCTGAGGTACCATAAATACCTGCATACGATACATCAAGGCCCTTGCTCTGGTTCAGTCTGGCCTGGCCGCAGCTGAAGCTATAGTGTAGCCTGTTTTAACCAGGAAATTAAGCAATACACTACCTACCAGCAATCCTCAATTAATTGCCTGAAGTTCCCGAAAAACCTCTCTGGCAGGATTTTTGTCAGTGCCGTTTGCTTTGGCTTTAGAGCATCTGTTGGCTTATTTGTTTGTGTTCTAATTGGGGTTTTTTTAAGCAGAGAGAGGTGGTCTTTCTTTAATGATTTCAACTTAAAGACGATTTTTGGTTGTTGATTTTGTTTTTAAAATATGTGTTATCAATCAAATATAAGTATTAATAAGTGTATGGAGGAACATAGTGTGAACCACATCTTTTTTTTATTTTAGGAAAATATATTTCTTAGTAGATTTTTGAGTATCTAAATTTGGTAACATTGTCATTCTAATTATAAGATCCAAATTCCTTAAGCATCTCAATTTGGGTAAGAGAAGTCATGTAAGAAAGTTTTGATAGAAATTACTTGGAATCTCTAGTACTATATTATCATTATCTTGGACTTTGCTCAAGTCTGGAAAAGATAAACAAAGTTCCCCAAGGGACTACAGGAGCAGCCATACTATGAATGTGTGTCCCTCCTTATCTCATCAAGAAATGCTTATGCAGATATAAGTACATTAAAATCCACTTCAAGGGAAGGTTTAGGAGAAACCAAAGATGACACTTTGCCACCTGAGCCAGAATAGCTTTTTTTTTTTTAATCCTCACCTGAGGATATATTTTTATTGATTTTAAAGAGAGAAGAAGGGAGAGAGAGAGAGAGAGAGAGAGAGAGAGACATCAATCTGTTGCCTCCTGTCTGCAACCCATGCTAGAGGGAATTGAACCCATAACCTTTTGTTGTACAGGGCAATGCTCCAACCAACTGAGCCACACCAGCCAGGGCAAGCATAGTTGTGTTTTAAGAATGGAGAAGGTTTGTTTTCATCATTTATGTACATTAGTCTCAGATATTTTTAGCTAGTGTAACCTGAAAGGATTTTTAAATTTTTCTGCTGTAATGATAAAATGACATGGAAATGGTGACATGTTAAATTGCCCTGAGAATAGTGCCCCTACCCAAGTTTTTATACTAAAAAAACAAAACAAAAAAAAAAAAAACCCTGCCAGTCAGTAGGTTTTATTGAATAGTATTTCAAGTGTATTCTTCCTCAGCACTCTCCTTTTACCCACATTTTTTATTATTAATATGAATTACCATTATCTTCAATTCTCTATTCAGGGAATGTAGAAAAGGAAGAAAGATTCTCATGCCAAAAAAATCACTTTTTCTAAATTCTTTTAAAGTATTATATATGAAGATATAAATAAATAATAAATAAATAAATAAATAAATAAATAAATAAATAAAGTCCCATGTACCAAGAGGTCGCTGGTTCGATTCCCGGTCAGGACACATGCCCAGGTTGTGGACCAAATCCCCAGTGGGGGGCATGCAGGAGGCAGCCAGTCAATGTTCTCTCTCATCGATGTTTCTCTCTCTCCCTCTCTAATATCAATAATGAAAACAAAACTTTTTTTTAAAATAATAAGGTATTATTTATTGGCATCTAAATAGTGTGTTTCTAGTGCTCAAAACTGTACCATGGCTTATTCATTGCTTTGTTCTTACAATGCTTTAGGCAACTTAGTCACTCAGTAAGGGTTTGAGCCACTGACTCACCAGCTAACTGGTGATGAACACAGCTTATGAGTTTCTTTGGAGATAACGTGAGGTGCTGCACACTTCCAAATTTAATTTAAATAGAGATGTAGGAAAGTTGTAGACAACTTTTTAACTCAAAAGAGTTCCAAAACTTTTCTTAATGTTAGACTTTTATAAACAATTTCACTGAAATCTTCACCTATGTAAATTAGGTTAATAAAAAAAATCAAGGTTCCAAAAAGTAATAACTTTTAAAATTTATTTATCCAAAAGTATATCCTATTGAAGCTATCAACTATTCTTCTGAGGTGGGAGGAAGGGAAAGATATTTTTATGACAAGTAGAAAATGTGACTGTTAGATATTTGAACAGTTCTCTAGGGCATTTTAACATCAAGATGTCTCTAGAAAAGTGCTGTCCCTCTCCTTGGTTAGCTTATTTAACTACAAAATCATCTTGTACCTGGTAATGAAAACAAACCCTGCAACCATACATTCTTGAGTGTCCTTGTGTCTAAATATCATCTCTATCCTCTGTGCTCACAGCCTCTTGCACACTCATCTATCTCTAGGCTGCTCTGTGCTTCTCTTGACTGTTCTTACTCCCATAACGCCTTCAGGAATGTCATCTCCTCAGCAACATCCTCTCTACATTCTAGGGATTTCTGCCAAAATCGCCCACCTGTTTCCTTAATTGTATCCCAACTCTCTCTAGGGACCAGCACTTCTTCTGTAGTGTCTCCATGGAAAATTCTTCAGTTCTACAAGTCTGGCTCCATGGCCTCTTTGACTCTTAACCTATGTACCAGATAGGAAAATTGCAGATATCAAGCCTAGAAGAAAAACATCGGCTTCTAGATGGCTGTTACTGCAAATACAAGTTAACGCAGAGATGATGTACTCATTGCCTCTTTTCCCTGAGTGCTGCCTCTGAAGCCTTCCATCCTCTCCTAGGTGTGCATCCTTCTCATTCGTCTTGCAATCTTGTATTTCTTTCTCCTCTTCTTCCTCCTGGCACATAAACATAAACACTCAAAACTGAATATAATGTGACCCTGAATGGGTTTTTAGCATTTGTGTGTACATCAAATGAAAACGTAAGGACTTATATAAATCTTTAAAATAATTGAGTAATACATTTTGTATTTCTTATGAATAAAAAGTTGTTTTTATAGGATACTTTATTTTTCTTTTTTAATGTTGTAGTAGGTCTTGAGAAAAATTTTAGTCACCTACCTACACCCACAGTCAACTTATAGAGATATGTTATGTTCAAAAGAAGGAATTAGTTGTCCATTATGACATTATAGAATTTAATTTAAAATACTCCTCATGGTGGCTTCAATATGCATATGCCTAGTCATAGTCACAGTTAGTGTCTTTTAGCAGGAGTTGGACTGTCCTCATGTGCTTCTATGTATATGTACAAAATTGATTATGATGGCTGGGCAGCAAAATAAGGTTTCCCACTAATTTATCATTAAATTAATTTTCCACTAATTTCCACAAAATGATAAAGTTTTTACTAATTCTGCAGTTGATACATATCTGATTGAAAAAACAATGAACAAATTTGTAGACTAAGACCTTGATAATATTGCTATAAAGACAAATGTTTTTATGACTGTATTCTTTTAATCAGCAAGTGTTTATTGAGTGCCTACTATGTGCATGGTACTATGAAAGACATTAGGGTTATACTAGTGAACATGAAAGATGTATTCCTGTCTTCATGGAGCATGGAAGCCAGACATTAAATAAATAGTTACAATAATATGTAGGGAGCCCTGGCCGGTTTGGTTCAGCAGTTAGAGCATTGGCCTGAGGACCAGAGAGTCCCAGGTTCAGCTCCTGCTAAGGGTACGTACCTCGGTTAGAGTTTGTCCCCGGTCC